TAAGTATAAGGAAAAATGCCTTGATATTGTTCCTAAAATGTTGGAAAAAGTGAATATATTTTTTTACAAGTGTAATAAATACTAAAATAATGAAACTATCCAAGTCTCCTTGACACTCTTCTCACTACTTTAAATGTATTGCCAAAATAATACTCAAATAACACTAACACTGAAAAAAAAAAAAGTGTGAAGTGTAGAGCCTACAATCAGCAAATGAAAAACTCAAAAGCTCATTGTTTCCTGCCTGATCTCATTGTTTTTCACACTTATTTACTTTTCCCTCTTACAAATGTACAAGTGAAAGGATTGGTGTAGGTCACTTGAAAATAGAGCTTGGTGACGGTACTTCAGTCCTCCCAGAATTTACTTGGTGATGGATAAGAATGAAAGAGTGCAAAATGATTTCTTGGTGCTTCTTTAGCTTTGCCTTCAGCTCCAGCTTGGTACTTCAGTTTGCTTCCAGCTGTTTTCTACCCAAAGTAAAATGTTTCCTACCCATGTGCTGCCTCTATTTCTGTCAAGTTGGGGTTAGGAACTGGTGTTGAAAAGTCAATATACTGCTCTCTACCTCCTGGAAATTCCTTTCTACAATGAGCCATTCTTAAAGGCCAGCTGTGCCAAACCACACGGCTGTTTCACACAGAAGTAATAGCTTAAAGCTGCTTGTGTCAAGGCCAAGAATCAGATCCTGTAAATTTATGAAAGATGAATGCTATGGTAGACTCTGTGAACTTTTTTAATATAAACAAGATTATAGATAATCTAATAAAAATGAATTACTTTGTAGATGACAATAAGATTTACATACAGGTAGCTAACGCCACATTTAGTACTATTCTTTCACGTTTGTGTTCCAGTCAACCAGCGCAGTGACCAGCCTGACCTCCAGGAGGAAATGATACATTCCAGTATTCCTTAAAGCACAGTAAAGCCCTTTATTTATGGCAAGCATTAGTTTTGCAGTCACAGTGACAGAACTCATATCTTAGCAGTGCATCAAGGCTTTCCTTCCCTCCTTGTAATAGTTGTCGCTGAAATTGTCTCGTTCTTCTGTTCTCAGACCTGAACATATGGTATGTTGTCAGTTAGGAAGAAGGCTCTCAGCCGCAGAGATTCTCTCTCCAGCCAGATGTAACAGAAGAGACACAAAGTTCATAGGAAGTTCACTTTTCTTATGAAGCTCCAGTGAGTTAGTTCCAATTCCAACCTGCTAATTTCACATGACTGTGGTTGACACTAGAGTATTGTAAATGCATCCAATTATTATATGGTTTCACAGATCACTTTTATGGGAAATGCTCACCTGAGCGCATTTTGTATAGTCATTTTCCTTCTGGAGTGCAGGTGTCACATCATCTTCAAGAAACTGATGTTCTCTAAAGAGAAATTTTCAAATATTGTCTCTGAAATTCTGCATGTTGAGCATGCACAAATCTGGAGGGCAATTAGATAATTAAAATAGTACTATGTGATTTTTATGGTTGAATGTAGGCTACACCCTGAGCAAAAGTAACTAATTGGAAAACTGCAGGCAGAGATAGCTGTAGGTGGTGTAGTTACAGCAAACTGGTCTTTCATTTGTCGGAAGCTCTAGACAGAAGAGTTTGACTGTGATTGAGTTTGGATTGCTATACTTTTCCGATAAAGTATGAAATAAATGGGCACAAGGAATTATTTTACTAGTAATAGTTCAGGATAAATCTCTAATGTTAGACTGAACTTTTTAATAAAAAGTCTCTGTTAAGACTACAAGAGATAGAAAGCACATGTATTTTAACAGACAAAAGAATTTATAGAATCCTTTATTTTTATTAAATTCCATGTGAATTTTATAAGATTCCTTTTAGTCTTGAAGAAAATGAAGGATTAACTGACCTAAATTATGAGAAGTGGAAAGAAATTCATAACTGTTTCTGTGAATATTTCCATTTGAGCTGCCAAGGAACAAAGCTCAGTTTTTCTTTTATGTTGCGTGGATTTGTGATCTACTAAATGGAGGAAAAAAAAATGAGGGCATCAAACTCACTCTCTTATGTGATATGTCAGATAAAATACAAGTGAGCCTAATTAATTATGATTTATAAACAGATGCTCCTGCATATGTGCATGTGTTTGTGTATTTATGTACTGATACATTTTAAGAAATCATTGCCCTCTTGGTAATGATTACAAATAATTATTTGTGAAAAAAGATCCCATTATGTAGGCACCTAAAACTGTTACTCACCTCTGAAAACACTGCTCTTCAGCTCCCATTTCCAGCTCTGAATTCCCACCAGGCCTTCTCCTCCTCCCCAGTGTCACGTAGGAACAGGCATGTCAGCGTTCAGGAAGATACAGTCATGCAGTTCTTTCTAATTGCCGACACTGAATAATTTCACATTCACTTATATCTGTGAAAAACTGACAGATTGTGCTTGTACCTTTGAGCTTGGACAGCCTCTTCCATCTCAAATCTTACTTTGTTTTCAAGCTGGAAAAAGTCTGAATCCTTTCCATTTCTTTCAAACTGGGAAATAGCCTGTTTTCCTTGGGGGAAAAATTTTTAAGGGAATACAAAATGCTCTTCCAAGTCCAAATAGTCTTACCGTGTGCATCAAATATTTTGCACTGGTCTACAACAATATTTCTAACCAGTAGTTCAGCAGGTCAGCTGAAAACACAAGGCAACAAACCTAGAGCAATATCAGCACAGTTAATCTTTTGTAAACAGCTTTCCTTTGTGCAGTGATTACATAGGATGCTTGCACAAAAAGACAAGTCGTTACTAAACCATAAAAAAGGGAACTTTATTACTGCTTGTCAAGCACTGCAGTAATTTGGAAGGACTAAACATCATTAAAAGAAAAATCTTTGTTTCTCCTGTATCACAGATCCATAAAGCGAGCATAGGTATAGTAATGAATGCTAGTTTACTGAATTTAAATTAGCAAAATCCAAACTTAGCTTGACAACTTTAATAAAATACTTTAACCTGTAAACAATAGTTGTTTGTCACTGTCATTATTTCAGCACACCTGCAATATTTAGCACTCATACAAGTGCTAAAGTCTTCTGGCATTTTCCAGAAACACCTGCATAACAGTAAACCCCTTCCTTTCCTCAGTGACTCAGGATTTTAGACAGTAAGCAAGCCTAGCAGGTATTTGACAGTGTGATAAAACTGCTGTAGGCTTGCCTAAGTCACCAGCAAAACCCTCAGGAGTTCACCTTTCCTGATGGTGGGGTTGGCTGGAGTGATGATCCTATCAACTAAACCCGAGTTAAAAAGGCAGTAAAGAGTCTGCTGTGGTTGGCACATTCTTAGCTTAATTTCTATTCCTTTCTGATGTTTCTCTAATTCAGCTGTTTTCTGAAGCTGAATTAATCGCATTACCAAGCATTCCCATGTTTGGATAGAAGCATGAAGCTACTCAGGGTAACTTTCAGTGCTTTTCTTTTGGATCTAATGTTTGCTAGTTATCTGTTGACCCTAATATATTGCACTTGCACGTGAGTTAAATTCTTTAACTGGTGTATCCTCACAAGGTGTTACTTGTATTCAGGGTTCATACAATGTTTTTTTAGGGGGAGAAAAAAGAAGTTCATGTGTATATTCTATGGCCATGCAACACCAAGATTGGTGGTGGTCTAAGAGCCCACCCAGATGGGGCTATGCTGATTAGATGTCTCATCCAACCCAGATGGAATGCTACTGACTTGAATCAGACTGCTTTTCAGTCCTCTGACTTTAGCAGCGTCTGTGGTATCGATACTTAGAATTTCATTAGAAGTTGGTTACTCGCAGGATTTAAAAAAAAACCACCAGCTGTTACAATCTAGTTTATAGAGATCCATAGAGTTAGAGTAAAGTTTTCTGAAGAGTGTGTTTTGTTATGAGAACAGTAAATGTACTCTAACTTACACCATTCGTCTTCACCCACAAGCTGAAATTTGATGATAAATGTGTGAGAAATGAATGTGAGAAAAGACGGTTAAATACTTTCTTATTCAAGACAAGTTATATGTGTTTCAGATAGAATTAAGGGCTCCTAATGATGGTACAGCTGTGATCAGGTCACTGTTAATTTTGAGACAACCTTGTTCAATATAAGCTCTGACCTTGCTCTAAATTCCACTACAAAATAAAAACTCATACATTTATTATAGAAAAATGCTTAGAGTCATAAAGACAGAATACAGTTTGAACCAGCAGATTCATCATGAAAATAATATAAAATGTGTGTTCCTCCATGTAAATGTCCTAACAAACGTGGTTAGGAAAATAGATTTTTTCAGTCAGCCTGAAGTTGAGGGACAGAGCTCAAAGGAACAGGTTTTGAAGGGGCTTGTTTGCGTGGTTTCCCCTACTGAAAGCCAATTTTCTTGCACTATAATATATGCTAATAGTTTGGGGCTTCGTGTACTGCTTCACAGGTTTACAGGTGAATGGTAAGCCTCTGATTAGGTAGGTTATTTATAGGAGGGGAAGAGAAAAAAGGGGGTCAAAAGGAGGGCTGTGTATTTTCTGGATATTGTAATTTTTTCATGGAAAAAGCAGGCTTGATCTTATGTAAGATAGGTTGAGGTAGAAGGAAAGAAGTTTAGGGGTGAGTGATTTATCCCCCTACTTATTTATCTGTTCCTGGATTTATTCATTTAAACTGTGATATTGTTGGGGTGGGACTGTCTTTTTGTTTGTGCAGTGTTAAGCCCTGTGGCCTTGAGCTTCGGAGGAGGTATCCACAGCCGCCCAAATACGTGAACTGGCTCTTCCTAAGAGTCATTCAGAGACCTCTGGGGAAAGATAATTGATGGAGTTTCCCTGTTGGCATTGGCTGTGACAGGGAGCTGTGGAAGATGGCTGTGTGGAATACTCTTCTTCTGACAGCACTGCAGGAAAAAGTCTTTTTCCACCTAATTAGTGATGCTTGCCTAATTGGCGAAGGTTGATGCAGTGGTTTTTTTTTCTTTTCTTTTCTTTCTTTCTTTCTGCCCCCGCCCCTCTCCCCGTGTTACAGATATACGCGGACTGCAGGGATTTCTCGATCAGGCCTCAAGACTGGGACTTGATGTATCATTACAAAAAGTGGACAGGAACATCAGCAGAGTCTTTGCCAACCTTTTCACTACCATGAAAACCGAAGAGCTGAACCGCTATCGGGACACATTGCGAAGGGCTATCTTACTCCTAAGTCCACGGGGAGCCCAGACTTTTATTAATGAGGTCAGTGCACAGTTGTTTTTATCATCAACATTTCAGGAACATATACGATGACTTATGTGATACCTTGCCACGTTTTCTGAAGTGGTAGATTTTGACAATGCTGGTTGGTAAATGTCAAATAAGACTGTCAGACTCTAGTGTTGGAGAATTGAAACGTCAGGTACTCCATGTAATGCATACTTTGTGGTTAATGCAAACAGAACAGCATGGGCCTGATGGGCACTTTCAATATAATGTACAGCTCTATGGGGCAATTCTTTTTTTCTGGTTGTCTTCCATACCAACACTTTTGACCTAGATTTCAACCACTGTCTACAAGTTACCAGAAAATCTACTGTAGTCTATTAGAAATGGAACATAATGTACCTGGGAGAGTCATCTTTGCTGTGGAAATCACCAAATTCATGTTAAAAGGGCATGTTACTGATGTTTGAAAGCTGAATCACAGTGTTTTTATCAAATGTGAAGTAGAAATTACATGTTTGTCTCTTTTTCTTAATGATTTCTTGAAATCAACGAGGCTAATTAGGATGGGGAGATAGCTGTTGGGCAAACTTGTAATTAATGTTGTGCTGTGGGCTAATTTTTGGCATTAATTAGTTTTATCCAGCTTTTTTAATATTAAATAATGAATTATTTTTCAGTGCTTTAGATGTCAGAGTTGAGAATGAGAGTTGGATCCTCAGTATAAGTTTACGTGTATTCATTAGCTAAGAATTTGGCAATGAAATAGTTTTTTTTCAATTCTTTTTTTAACTGACCGGGGATAAGACCAAACCAAGACATTAAAATGTGGATGAGACCTGTTTCCAATTATCAGTTTCGCTGTATCAAAGCCTGCTAAATTAAAACAAAACAAAACAAACAAAACATTAAATTAGAATCATAGAATTGTTTAGGTTGGAAAAAAACTTTAAGGTCATCAAGTCCAACCGTTAACCTAGCACTGCCAAGTCCACCACTAAACCATGTCCCTAAGCGTCTCATCTACACGTCTTCTCAATACCTCCAGGGATGGTGACTCCACCACCTCCCTGGGCAGCCTGTTCCAATGTTTAACCACTCTTTCAGTAAAGACATTTTTCCTCACGTCCAATCTAAACCTCCCCTGGCACAACTTGAGGCCAATTCCTCTTGTCCTATCACTTGTTAGCCTAAGCGTCTCATCTACACGTCTTCTCAATACCTCCAGGGATGGTGACTCCACCACCTCCCTGGGCAGCCTGTTCCAATGTTTAACCACTCTTTCAGTAAAGACATTTTTCCTCACGTCCAATCTAAACCTCCCCTGGCACAACTTGAGGCCAATTCCTCTTGTCCTATCACTTGTTAGGACACCTACCTCGCTACAACCTCCTTTCAGGTAGTTGTAGAGTGATAAGGTCTCCCCTCAGCCTCCTTTTCTCCAGGCTAAACAACCCCAGTTCCCTCAGCCGCTCCTCATCAGACTTGTTCT